TTGCCCATGGTGCGCCGGTGTTGAATGGTTGGCTTGATGATAAATTCGAAAGTTTTCTACGTAAATTCAGTACTAGCGCTACGCGAGGCAGACTGGTTGGTTCTGCCGGATTGCGTGTTGTTTTGTTACTGAAATAATTTTTTCTATGTAAAAAATTGAAAGCTACGTTAAGCTTAGACATATCTACTGAAGTAGCATCATAGATGTACAAACCAGGAGCAATGCATTCGAATTTCATTATGTGCCCCTCCGAAATGTGTACGCTAAAAGCATTTTCAGTCTCAGTGTCCAGAGTCACACAAAATTGTTCTGCAACGAGCGCCAGAGACAGGATATTAGCCAAGCATCTCGGGTTATACCACACGGTGAATCCCCCAAAATGACGCTTCTGAGTAGTATTGAGAGTTCCACCGGAAGTGTGTAGTCTCAATATTTCCCCATCAGTGGTTGCCTTTTCTCCAGTCAATATGGTCGGTGGACTCACTATCGAGGAGAATCCAGTTGGGATGAATGTAAGTATCGGGATGTTGATTCATAAGAATACCACATCTGTAGTTGCTTACCTCACTGATAGTAGCTTCCAACTTTGCTCCCGTTCCATCCTTGGCACCCGGACGATGGCTCTGGTAGTGTCCCTTGTTCTTGCACAGGCGACAGGTGATGGTGGCGTAGAACAAGTCGTTGGTTCCCCAAAAGAAACAAACTTGTCCAGCTGTCTGGGCAAAAGAAACCGAAGGGTTCCTATTTGCTCCTGTTCTTGGTGAGGGCTGTCGTGCGCTATCATTGTTATTGCCGCGACCGCGTCGGGCGACATCGTTTGGCTTCCAATTTTCCAGAAGTTTCAAAACTCCAGGGACGTCTTTAGGAAATCCTTCCTGTGGAGTTCCGTTGGGCTTCTTGAGATAGTCATTAGGTCACCAAAACGCTCTTTGTCAGTCCGCTTAAGGATTGACATGGCGATGCTGTGATCCTTGACCATCTTTTCCTTGACGCGTTGGACGTCATCTTCTTGTTCTTTGGTCATAACTGCGGTTCCTGTGGCCAATGCTGCGGTGAATTTGCTCTTGGCAGCTTCCACAGCTTTCTTGAGCTCCTTTTCCTTCGCTGGAGTCCACAGAAATGGGCCTCCACGGCGCTCATAAGCCTTGATGGCTCGTAGCATAGTCTTCACGAAAGCTTCGTTTGATTCGCTTCCCTTTTGTCCCATCTGGAAGATCTGCTTGAGCGCGTCATCGAGCGCGAGCTCTGTGGGCGCAATTCCTTGACAGAATTCTAACAGGAACGGGACTTGTGACTCGACCTATAGGATTCCCAGGTTGAAGTGTAGCCTGTGCGCTGCACGCATCACACGTGCGCAAACTGTTACAGGCCATTAATTTAGCGTAGAAA